TTCTCGCTGCCGCCGCCGCCTCTGCTCCTCCGCTGTGCACGGGTCGTCTTCCCGCAGCCATGAGCGCGCTCGGCCCCGATGGAGCCACCCGCCCTCTAGATTAGTGCTCGTCGCCGCCCCGCACCCGCCTGCAGCATGGAGTCGCCCGCCTCAGGCCAGCCCGCCGGCATGCCCCAGTCTAAAGGTAGGCGCGCCCGGCTGGGACCTCGGCCTGACCCCCGCGTCCCATCCGGGCTCGGGCTGCGACCCCCGACCTCGGCGTGGTCCCACCCCATGGTGTTCCGGACCCAGGCAACAGCAGCCTGGCCCAGAACCCCTTCCTACTCGGGTCGCGGGTACACCCCCAGACTGGGACTGTCCCAGGCCCGAGATCTCCCAGGCTGGACCCAGGCTTGGACCTCGTTCCGCTCAGCCCGCTCCAGGTCAGGAACCTCACTATGATCTCATTTAGGCCTTAGGGCTGCAGCCTGGACAGGAACTCTCCCAATGTTCCTCCCTCAGCCGGACCCAAGTGGGATTCACTCTGATCCCCACCTGGGTCCTTCCAGTTCCAGGCGTCAAGGCCGTATCCAGGGTGGGATTTAATTCTCATTCTCCATCTGTGTCCCGGAGGTGCTCCTGTTTTGGGGAACCCCACTGAAGTCCCCCTCCCTCCCATGTGAGTGCCCTGGCTGCACCCCAGTTCAGAACTCTTGGTCCACCTTCCTCCCAACTCTCTCCATCCTTGTAGGCCCTACGTCGTTCCATTCCTATCTGGCCTGCATCCCATCCTGCAGCCCAGTCCCCCCCAGAACCTCTCTTGGCCTCCCATCCTGCCCTAACGCATAGCCTCTCCACTGGCTCCTCCTTGCCTTGAGTTGCAAGTTTCTCTCTGCACTTGGGCATTTCACCCCCTCTTGTGTCTTAGTGTCTCTGGGGCTGGTTACTCCCAGGCCTGTTCCTGCTGCCTGGGACCTGAGCCAGCCGCCAGGCCAGGGTGCTGGCTGTGCAAGGGGCTTGCTCTTGTCTTCTGCAAGTAACTAACTGGCCTTCCTGGAAATTTTTGTGAGGTGGCGGCAGCAGCAGCAGCAGCGGGATTTGTCATGCAGAGCAGGGAGGATGAGACTTGGAGGGCAGGGCGAAAGGGGGATTTTTTTTCAGGAAGAGGAAAGGATGTTTTTGGTGTGTCGGAGTCTCAGTAGGCAGGGTTGTCTCAGAGATTTCCAAACCGGACATAGCTGTAATGAATGGGCTGCCTCCCTGCTCTCTGAATCTGCTGCTGCCTCACCTGCAAGCCTCTTGATGTCTCTGGGCCTCAGTCTCCTTATCTGTAAAATGGGAGTAATCACACCTACTTCTGTGGACCTTGGGAGTGTCACCTGAGACAGTGACTACTAAAGAGCTTTAAGCAAGTATGAGTGAGGCGGTGAGGAGCTCAGCATGGCACCTGGCATGCAGTAGGTGTCCAGGAAGGGGCAGTTGCTGCACATCTTGTTATTGTTGCCACTTTCCTTGCTGGAAAGGCCTCAGCCATGCAGGGTCAGGGACTTGCCTGTGTTTGGGTTGCAGCTACAGAATAAGCAGGAGAGAGGTAACAGCAGACACTTAGTTAGGCCCTCATCAGGGGTCATCCCCTCTCCTTTGTTGGAGGGGCACAGGCTGCCGGACTGCTGGTGGCTGCCATGACTGTGGGCTGGAGCCGGGTGGGCAAGGTAATTATGTCTTACATAAGTGGGAGGCCGGATCCCTGACCATTGCCCAACCGCTGTGAGTAACTCAGGAGGCACTCGCCAGGGGAGGTGGCTGGGGAGGGCCTTGTGCTGCACAGACCTCGTGGAGCTTGGGAACCGGGAAATCAGACACTTCTCCACTCTGGAGAGCTCGGGGAAGGGGTTGGAAGTAATGTTTGTTTTTGGAGGCAGTTCAGCTCTTCCAGGCAGAGATGCCTCATCAAAATAAAGTTCTAGTTGCAGCATTGTGAAGGGAGAGGGGGTCATAGTGTGGTGAGAAAGCACTGTGGGGAAACACTGGTTGACCCCCATGTGCTGTGTCACTTGAGGCCTGGCATTGGCCTCTCGGGCCTCTCTGCAGAGAGTACCAGGATGAATTTCCAGCCTGTGGATCCAGGTAACAGATGATGGTGGGTGGGTCTGGTGAAAAGTCAGGGGTCTCCCCAGTGCCCAGGGACCCTGTAGCCTCTTTGGGGTCTGGGAAAAGATGTGGTGGGGGAGCTAGAATGCTCTCTCACCAAAAATCCTCAGAGCTCCCACTTATCGAGCTTTTTCAATGTGCCATGCATTCTCTGAGGCGTTCCTTACAGCTCCATTTACAGATAAGAAAACTGAAGCTCAGAGGCATTAAGTGCCTTGCCTGAGCCACACAGCTGTGACAGATGGAGCCAGTGTTCCACCCAGGGCTGTGTGTCTCCATAGTGTTCTCCTCAGTGCTCCCCATGTCCCATTTCTGTGCTGGGTGTCCCATTTCTGAGCTGAGGTAGTGGGATGCCGCCCACTCTCACCCTTGATCACACCCATGTCCAGTGAGTGTCTCTTCAAGGCTGTGTCAGACCTGGAGGATGGACTGAGGCAGAGGCAGTGCGCAGTCCTTTACAGTTGGTACATCGCATACTCACTGCAATCAGACCCATTCAACAGATACAAAACCAAGGTGAGACAGGGAGAGTGGCTGGACTGAATCCACAGAGTGGGGGTGACCTGACTGCCTGGATCAAACCCCAGCTCAGCCCCGTGCCTTCCCCATCCTGGGCACTGTGCCCTCAGCATTGGGCTCTTCTCCGCCTTCTCAAAGGAATTTCAACAAAGCAGGGAGTGGCTGATGCCTGACCTGATGGGAACTTTACTTTTGAGCTTCCTGCCTTGCAGCGGGTGCCTTGCCCTGTCCTCTGTGCCACGGGCATGGGGAGTGCATGAAGCCCTCAGCCCTGCTGGTTTTCCCCTGGCCCCCTCACCCACATGCCATCACTGGCTGGGGTCAGAGGCCAAGGGCAGCTGGTGCCAGGGCCGGTGAGCAGGGACACAGTGGTTAGCATGGTCTGCATCTGCAAGCCACACTTGTCCTGGGGGGTTACCACATATGTCCTGTTGCTGTTCATGGCATGGCCTCTGTCCCTGCTGCCCTGGGAGTGCTACCAGTGGGGGCACTTCATGGTTAAATCTTTACATGGCTCAGACAATGGCTGGATGGCTCCTGGCTGTCCAATAGGGACACTGAGGCTGCAAGGATCTCTGTCATGTCCTGGTCCTGCCTTCAGTGGCTGCTGTCTACCCCCCTTCCCATCCTGGCTGTCGGAAAGACTGGAGGGTGGCACCTCTGGGACTTCCCCCACCCCTGGCATGACGCACAGGAAACTCTCTATCAGCCAGCCCGTGGCTCGAGGCCTGAAGGGAGCAAAGTTCTCAGTTGGCCTGTGCGGGGAGAGGGCCAGGGCAGCGGAGGCTTCCGGCGGGTGAGTCAGCGGGCACTGGGCGCTGACTCACCCACTGGGCATGCCAGCCGGCTGCCTGCAGCTTAAAGGGGCGATGCCCATCGGCTTGGTGGGTGGGAGGGGGCTGCGTGTCCTGGCCCTGCAGCAGCACCTGGCCCTGGGCTGGGGCCCTGGAAATGGCTCATTCCTGGACTGTGGGCTGGACTAGGACCCCCTGGGCAGGCCCTCCTGGCACTCTGTGCCCCGCCCAGGAACTTCCTCTATTGGGCAAGGGCTTCTGCTTCCTCTTGCTCATGGAGCAGGAGCAGGTGGCAGCGGCTGTTTACCGCCCTTGGCCCAGGGGACTCCTCGGCTCGGATGTGCAGCTGGGGACCCAGGGAGGGTGAGGAGCACAGTGCAGGGTCAGCTGGGGTAGAACTCAGCCTGAACTCCCAGAAGACAGCAATGTGGAGAGGTGAAGAGCTCAGGCTCTGGGGTCTGACTGCCTGGGTCAAACCCCAGCTTGGCCCCTTTTGCAGTGTGACATTGGACAAGTTGCACCTGGTACATTCTCTGCACTCTGTTAATGATTTCAGTCCCCTGGGCATTGTCCAGCCTTCAGAGGAGAAGCCTCAGTTTCCTCATGTGCAGAATGGGAATGGAAACCCTGCCTGTCTGGATGCAGACAACCTCATTCCACGCTTGCTAAGTGTCAGGTCCTCCTGGTCACAGCAAGATTACCCTGTGCCCACAAAGAACCCAGTCGAGGCAGGAAGTGGGGGTGGAGCCTGGGATCTGGAGGAATGGGCCTAGGCTTGAATCCTGGCTCCATTACTCCCTCATCTGGGCAAGTCAACCCTGCCCTTTCTGACCCTCATCTCCTCTTCTGTAAAGGGGGAGTAAGCACCCCTCCCTTGCAGGGTTGTGGTAAAGACGGGAGACAGTGTTTGTCAAGTGAATGGCATCTGTTATTATTCTATTATTGTTATGGCTGTGGCTGTTGTTAACTGGTGGGTGAATAAACAGTGCTGAGGCTTCTGACGATGAACTTGTAGGCTCTGGGAAGCAAGGCCTTTCAGCTGTAGTGTCCTTTAATGCCAGCCAGAATTACCAGGCCGTAGGATCTCTTGCCCTACTGGTCCCCAAGCTGGAGCTGGGGGGCGCCCATTGCTTCCTGGGCCTTCCTGGGGAGGGTGCGTGGAGAGCAGAGAATGGGCTGCCTGACTCTTTCTGCAGGTCTGCCTCTGCCACCCTGCTTTGGCATCTGGCGTTAGAAGGATGAACGAGGGTAAGCGTACTAGGTGTGGGAGGGGGAATCAGGACGCAGCCTCCTAGGCCAGCCCCTCAGCTGATAGACTTTTGTCAGTGCCAGGCACAGCATTGGCCTTGTAGATCCAGGGGGAGTGAGACACGTTCCGGGCTGTCATGGGCCCCACCTGGGGAGAGAGGGAGGTCCTGGGGTTGCGGGTCTGGTGGCCCGGCCAAAGTCACGTGTGTCAGTGGGTGGTGGGCTGAGCTGAGAGGAGCAGCCTGGTGCAGACCTGGCATCTCAGGAGGGGGCCCAGAGGAAGAGTTCTGGGGAGCAGCATGGAGGGTGTGTGGATGGGGTGGTGAGGTGGCCCCACCCCCAGCCCCTAACATGCCTTCACCTGGCCGTGCCTCCTGGTGTTGCCCACTTGAGTCAGGCCCGCTTGCCCAGCCGCTTCTATAGATGCCTCCCCCCAGCAATGGCCCTGGAGACCCAAAAAACTTCATGTCAAGGGCATGAGGGCCAGGCAGGG